ATGGTCACGGGGAAAATCTTCACGGACGGTGCATGCCAGAAGGCTTGGTTCTGGCCAGAAGCTACGAGAGCGGGTTGGGGGGGGTGCAGAGTTGCAGGACAGGCCAGGTGGCATTGAACTACTGGTATACGGTGCTCTCCCTGGCCCGTCTCAGAGCTCTCCTCGTGCTGAACTATACGCATTTCTCCGAGTACTGAGCGTGTGCATTCCACCAATTCACGTCCATACTGACTTCTTGGGGATCACAGATCAGATGGGCCTGCTGCAGGCCCTGCGTTTACACGTGGGCCTCGCAGGCCCAATACAGATCTATGGACCTCCACCTGGGCCAAAATAAATGATCCCGGGGGCCGTGGAGAGGCCACACAAGTCACGCACGCTCGGGGGCACCAGGCGGGGGACTCGTTTGAGGCTCGAGGCAACCGCTGGGCTGACCAGGCGGCGCGACAGGGTCGGGACCTGCACGCGCCTGGTAGCTCAGCCAAGCGAACGATGCGCGTAGCTTTGAAGTCTTTCCGACATGTGCTGCACTGGCTTGTGTCTGCGCACCTGCATCATGTGGGGTCTGGCCGTATCCACACCGTGCCTCGTCCTAGCAAGAAAGCCAGGCCGACGCGAGCTCCGTCCCCTGATTTGCCGATAGACCCGAACCTGCGCCACGTCATGGTTAAGACCCGAAGGAATATTTGGCATTGTAATGGTTGCAGGGTTGGGGCAAAGACGGAAACTTCGGTGAAACGGAAGGGCGCCGAAAGGTGCCTGGCCCGTGGTTTTGTTCCTGGGGTGCGTAAGATCGCTTCGGCTCTCCCGAACGTCGGGGCTCCTGGTGACGTTCAGCCTTCGGAAAGGATCGGTAGAGGCGGTGAGCATTGGTCCTCTGCGTCGTCAGGCACCGACGCAGACGGCCGTGCTTCCACTACCTTGCAGCCTTTTCCCTTTCCTAGGCTCACCTGGGTTCGCGGACTTCCAAGGGACTCCGTGGGACAGGGAGGGCCTGAAGCGCGAACGAGATTCAAAGCCTCAGGAGGCCCGCCATCAGCGATTGAAACCAATGGACATCAGGACGCGTGAGCGTCCCAGGTCTCCTAGCACGCGCAGTGTCAGGAGGCGAGTTGGCCGTAACACCACCATTGAGTATAACCCTCCTGGTGCTAGCTTGTTGCAAGTTGCATGTGCGAGGGTTTTGGCTCCTGTCGATGCTAGGTCCGCCTCCACAATGGCCCCTTCGCGCCCTGGGCCTGTTTCCGTGCCGAGTGCCAAGCGTCGCCGCACTACCTCTGGACGGAACAATCGGCCCACACGGGCTGAAACCATTCCCGCCGCCCCCGTGCCGTTGCAAGGCGTGGTCCCCGCGGAACCCGCGAGGGGACACAGTTTCTGGGTCTCCTCGGGGCAGGTGGTGCTTTGTGTATCGTGCGGCTTCTACAGCACTGGCACCCCATGCCACTTAATGGTAAACTGTCACGCGCATGAAGGGCACATCATGTCAGAGCGTGCCCAGCGACACCGACGCCTGTTGCTCTCGGGACGGCACCCTGCCGACGAGGGGAAGGCCGATGGTCGGCGTATCCCTGGTCCGAGGCCGCTCCTGGCCACGGACCCCGAAACCCGATGGGTTCGGCTCCTTGTGAAGCCATAGTTTCCTTTTACTTCTGGGCACTGGCGGCCTCAGCCCCCTGGGAACGCGCGAACTCTCGAATTCGGTGCATTCATGACAAGTTTGGCCATGTGTGCGGGTGGCCGTGATTCGTTCGGTGGGCCCCCGCATGCAGCAGGGCATGGGTGGCACGTCCATTCGTGGCGCCCCTCCCGTAGGTGGTCGTCTGTGCGATGCGCGACGTTCCCCTGCAGTGCCTTATCCTCCTCCTCCTCCTCCTCCTCCTCCTCCTCCTCCTCCTCCTCCTCCTCCCCCCTCCTCCTCCCCCCCTCCTCCTCCTCCTCCTCATCCTCCTCCTCCTCCTCCTCCTCCTCTCCTCCCTCCTCCTCCTCCTCCTCCTCCTCCTCCTCCTCCTCCTCCTCCTCCTCCTCCTCGCCCCCTCCTCCTCCTCCTCCTCCTCGCTCCTCCTCCTCGCTCTTCCTCCTCCTCACTCCTCCTCCTCCTCCTCCTCCCCTCCTTCCTCCTCTCCCCTCCGCGTCCTCCTCCCCCCCAGCATCATCCTCCCGTCATCCTCCTCCTCCTCCTCCTCCTCCTCCTCCTCCTCCTCCTCCTCCTCCTCCTCCTCATCTTCCTCTTCCCCCCCTCCTCCTCCTCCTACTCCTCCTCCACATCCTACTCCTCCTCCTTCTCCTCATACGTCTCCTCCTCCTCCTCCTCCTCCTCCTCCTCCTACTCCTCCTCCTCTCCTCCTCCTCCTCCTCCTCCTCCTCGTCATCGTCCGCCTCCTCCTCCTTTTCTCCTCCTCCTCCTCCTCCTCCTCACATCCTCCTCCTCGTCATCATCAGCATCATCATCATCATATCATCATCATCATCCATCATCATCATCATCATCATCATCATCATCATCATCATCCTGCAGCATCAGCATCATCATCATCATCATCATCATCATCAGCATCATCAGCTCATCATCATCATCATCATCATCATCATCATCATCATCCTCCTCATCATCATCATCAGATCAGTATCATCATCAGCATCATCATCATCATCAGTATCATCAGCATCACATCATCATCATCATCAGCATCATCATCAGAATCATCATCATCATCAGCATACACATCTCATCATCACGCATCATCATCATCATCAGCATCATCATCATCAGCATCATCGTCATCACCACCACCATCATCATCATCATCATCCTCATCAACATCGTCATCATCAGCATCATCATCGTCATCATCATCATCATCATTATCAGCATCAGCATCATCGTCATCATCATCATAATCATCATCAGCAGCATCATCATCGTCATTATCATTATCATCCTCGTCATCATCATCATCATCATCATCATCATCATCATCATCATCATCCGTATCATCATCATCATCATCATCATCATCATCATCATCATCATCATCATCATCATCATCATCATCATCATCATCATCATCATCATCATCATCCCTTTCCTCGTCCTCATCCTCCTCCTCCTCCTTCTCCTCCTCCGCCTCCTCCTCCTCTTCCTCGTCCTCCTCCTCCTCCTCCTCCTCCTTGTTCTCCTCCTAGTTATCCTCCCTCTCCCCGAGGCCCGCCTCTTTCGCCTGGCATGGGCGCCAGGGAGGATTTTTCATTAAGACAAGGAAGGGAGGAGGAGGAGGAGAAGGAGTAGGAGGAGGAGGAAGGAGGAAGGAGGAAGGAGGAGGAGGAAGGAGGAAGAAGGAGGAGGAGGAGCAGGAGGAGGAGGACGAGGAGGAGGAGGAGGAGAAGGAGGAGGAGGAGGAAGAAGAACAGCGAGGAGGAGGAGGAGGAGGAGGAAGAGGAAGGGGAGGAGGAGAAGGAGGAGGAGGAGGAGGACGAGGAGGAGGAGGAGGAGGAGGAGGAGGAGCGGGAGGGGGAGGAGGAGGAGGAGGAGAAGGAGGAGCAGGAGGAGGAGGAGGAGGAGAGCAGAAGGAGGAAGAGGAGGAGGAGGACGGGGAGGAAGAGTGGGGATCGCAGCGCATGGCGGCGGGGCACAGTCGAAACGTGGCCGTGGAAGCGTGGGTCAAAAGCGCGAGCCCCGTCGCAGGTGCCCGAGGCCCCATGGAGGTGTAGAGAAAGAGGGACACTCCGAAGTGGAGAGCCCGAGCATGAAGAACAGAAGGGTGCCGGTCCAAGGCTAGTGGTTTTCCTAAGCCCTCGTGCCAGCGCGCTGGAGACCAGCGATGCTCGTAGTGTCGAGGGTGCTGTACAGTCAACCCGTAGAACAAGGACGCACGATGAGGATCCAAGGACCTTGGAAGGCCAAGTCGAAACTCTGCGAGCAGGGCGCGGCCAGCGAAAGCGGCCAAGGATGGGCCGAAGGGGAAGGATGCAGAGGTAACCTTGCAAAGTCGTTCATCCTTACTATGCGGGTCGACTGCAATTGTTCTGAACCCTCGTGCCAGCGCGCTGGAGACGCGCGATTATCGGCGATGTCGAGGGTGATGTACATCAAGTAGCCCCGGACCTTGGGACAACAGTCCGTCCAAGCGGATGGGAATCGTCAAAACAAGCAAGTGCAATCCGCTGGCAGTTCGAAGCGTACACGACCAGTGCTCTCTCGCAGAGGAAGAGGCGGGAAAGGATAAGCAGGAGGAGGAGAAGGAAGAAGAAGGATAATATAATGGGACTCTACGCCGGGTCAGCTCCACTAAAAAGGCGGAGACCGGGCGACCCGTGCGTGGCGCACACTTTTTCAATACGGCGAGCGCCCTTAATGGGCGCAGATCGTGACTCGGCCAAGTAAAAACAAAGTCGGAGGTCTGGGGTGCACAAGATGGTTTCCAAGACAGCCAGAAAAGGACTCCAAAATACTCGAGAGGCCCCGAAGACGGTCCACGAAGTCCCAACAGGCCCTAACAAAGGCCCCAACAGGGTCCAAGCAAACAAAAAGGGCAAAGCCTGAATGATGTGGTTCAATGTGTGTGTTGCGTCCCTTCGGCTCAAGATAGCATCTGGAGTGCCCAAGAGGGCCCCAAGACAGCCCGCGAGGCCTGAGGAGCACCCACAACAGCCCAAAAACGACCCCCAGAGGACCCCAGGACGGCCAAAGAAGCCACCAAGACAGACCAAGACGATCCAAGAGGGCCCCAAAAGGCCCCCACGACGGGTCCTAGAACCCCCCAGAATTTCCCGGAGCTTCCTCCATGGAGGAGGGCATGGAGGAGGAAGAGGAGGAGGAGGAGGAGAATGAGGACAAGGAGGAGGAGAAGGAGGAGGAGGAGGGAGGACTTTGATGATGATGATGCTGCTGCTGCTGATGATGATGATGATGATGATGATGATGACGAGGAGGAGGAGGAGGAGGAGGAGGAGCAGAGAAGCAAAGGAGCAGAGGAGCAGAGGAGGCCCCCTGGTGCGGCCTCCGGCAT